TTTTTCTCTTCTCTACCCCTCTTACCATGCACAGCTTGTGAGCTTGGAGAGCTCTTGCTGGCTGTCTCTGGTCAGGAAGAAACAGTGCAAAGTCATTTCATAACTGTATTCTTTCTGAAGAAATGTGTTGGAATAAAAGGAAGTAGAATGAGTCTGACAAGGCAGCTGCTTGAATTTATTGCACCTTAATGGCTATTCTCTATTATCTGACTGCTTTCAAACCTAGTCCAGCCATAGGTGAAACCTGTCAGTGTGATGTGCCTCAGGGTGAGCATTGCCTTCTCTGAATGTGTGTGGTGGGTTTTAGTGCTGGCTAAAATCACCAGGGCACTTACTCATTCCTTGCTGTGAGATATGGATTAGAAGGGCAAAATAGACTTAAAACTTGAAGGTATAAAGAAAATTTATTAACAGGACTACAGGAATAAGAAGCATCAGAATAAAATTTCCAGAGCACCTTTTCTCCCCGTGCCCAACTCTTTCCTCTCCAACTGACCATGTAGAGACAAAACCTGGGATGTTAAAGCAGTACCAGCTATAGAATAGTCTTTCATTAGTTCTTGTAGGGAGAGGAGTTTTCTCATGTCATGCCATGGAGAGTTCTCCACATAAAACAGTTTTCCATGATTTTATTTTTTTTTATTTTATTTTTTTTCCCCCCACAAATAGCAGCTGCCCAGGAAAAGTTCTGCATTGTGACATTCCTCCCATTTTCACAGCCCTCTCAGAGGTGTGTCCATGGGCCATGAACTCATGGGGTACTGTTTTAAGGATGAGTTGTTCAAAGGCAAAGGTTCTCTTCATCTTTATCTGTGGTCATCTCTGGGAACAGAGGTTTTTTCTTCTCTCCCTGGGGACAAAGGGTCTTCATCAACTCTCATCTCACTCTCTGTTCAAGCTTCTCATGGGATCACAGCTACTCCAGCATCTGCTTGGCTTCATCAATCGATGCCTCTGCTCCTATCTACAGTTTGAATGCTTCATCCTCCCATACTCTCTCATGAATTAAAGGGGTATTTCAGTATGTCATTGTCTATTTCCATAGCCCTACCAAAAGAATTTTTCAGCCCAACACTAAGGCATCTGCTCATTCACCTTCTGTCTCGGCCTTGACTCTTTCTTTACTGACCTCAGTGTTTTCACATTGTCTTCTACGTGTTCCCACTTTCTCCTTTTCTCTTGAGGGGGGCATTGTGGTCTGCAGGTCTCATCTGTGCACGGAAAGAATTAAATCTTGCCAGGCCTGCAGATGGTCGTAGGCAGTGGCTGCAGCAGTCACGGTGTTGTATTTCAGGCCGTGCTGGGCCCCTCCCTCTGCCCGGCAGCCACTGGAAGGGCAGGCTCAGCCTGGAGCCATCAGTGCGGGCTGGGGGGAGGCTTAGTGTCAGCAAGGTGTCAGCAGCCATGGCCTGGCCCAGCCTGGGGCTGGGTCCCTGCAGCCTCCATCCCCAGCCCGGGAGCTGCTGGAGTCCAGCCCAGCCTCCCCCAGGCTGCAGGGGAGTGGGGCCGGCCCCACCAGAGCTCTGCTACCTTTTGAGGCCAGAAGCGAAGAGAGTTAGCTCACGGGCTTGTGGTTTATTAAATGTAGAATTCACAGAGGTGGATCTTCCCAGGCACAAAGGAAGCTCCCAGCAGCTTCGCTCAAAGAAGGATGGTTTTTTTTTTTACTTCCCCAAATGTCAATCAGTGTGAAACCACCACAATGTCTGTAAATGTTTGTGCTTTGTTGGGTTTGAACACTTGTGTACAAGACTAGGAAAGGGATCATCAGATGAAGAAGTTCTATGTATGAAAATATTATTAATTTTTGTAGAATTTTTTTCTGTCTGTGTGTTCTTGTTATTTTCTTTGAAAATTTTACCTGTTTTGGCTCAAAAATACCTTTCTGTTTTCTAATCATCCCGGCTCTAGCTATGGAGAAACTGCACAATGTAAGTAAATAATCTGGTACTATATCTCTCAAGTATTTTCAGTTCAGTGCTGCATGGTAATGTATACTTGTTGCTTTCCAACTGAGATCTTGAGGAATGGCCTTCTTTATGAAACACACTTTATTTCCTTTTTATTTCCAAAAGTAATATATAACTTTACACAGAAACTTGAGAAAAAGGAGGAGTGCACAAGTCCACATTATCAGAGATGCATGTAATTGTGCAATTTAATCTGAGAAGTCCAAACCTCTTAGGAAGATTGTATCTGACTTTGTAAAACTTGGCAAACCTCCAACTCAGAAAAATGTTTCTGCTTTTTCTGTTAAAAGCAGAAATACTCTTACACTTTTCCTGATAGCTGAGAAAATTAATCTAATTTCCATCCCAAGAAAAATTAAATAGCCTGGCCTAAAATAATTAAGTTAGTATGTTATATTTTATATCAGTGTTATATTTTATAGTAAAAAAAGAAGGACCTGAGAAGGTTTGTCTGTAACACTCACCTTTTCCATTTCAGCCTTCACACTGACAAGT